CAGCTCGCAGTCCGGGCAGACTGGCCCGACTCTCACGGCAGTAGGAGCCCTTCCACTTGAGCTTTTGGGCCAGCACTGGGTCATGTGGCCACTTTAGCGATAAGGTGGGCGGGGAGTGAGGGTCTTTCTTTCAGGCAGCCACGAGCTCAGGCACTCAGAGACAGGAAAGCAGACGGGACCCCCCTGGCCTGCACCACAGCCCTCAGCAACTGTGATCCTGCCCGAGTCCTCAGCTCCCTCAGTTCATCGATGATGGCATGCCCTTGCCCACTCCTCCCTGCTTGTCCAGACCCTTCATCCTCGCCCAAAACTGCTCCCGTAGCTGTCTCCTTCTCTGAGCTCCGTGAGTCAGGACCACTCACGCTGTGGCCTTGTTTCAGGTGGCAGGAAAGCAAAGAGAGCCTGTGAGATGCTCACGAGGGAAATTCTCATTTGCTTCTTGGGGGCACTGCCACGTGGGAGGAAAGCCAGCTGCAGAAGGTTCTGGACCCTCAGGAGGGGGACCAGGACTTCTCACCGTAGCCCGCAGAATGTCAGTCATCCACGAGCCAGCCAGGGGAGTGGCACAGCTGGGGAGAGCCCGAACATCTGTCACCCCAGGCACCCTGCAGCAAGGCCAGGGAAGAAAGAGGCCTCACGCAGAGGGTGTGGGTGGGCAGGGCCCCAGGGTGTCTCCAGCAGGAGCAGCTGCCGGCAATGCCACATGAAGAAGGCGCCTGCTGTGGCCGGGCAGGACCGGGCACTTCTAGTCACCTGCTGCCCTGCAGTACATGAATCTGGCTGGGGGTCGGGGGTCCCAAGGGAAGCCAGGGGCCTGCAGGCCCTGTGGGGAGACCTGTGGGGGTACCCACCATTTCACGGATCATCTTAGGAGCCACATCAGGAAGCTCCAGGTGGGCAGGGCTGCTGGAAACTTCCACTTCAGCTTGGCCCTGGCCGGGCACCAGGAGACCATGAGAGGAAAGAGTCTGTGCATCTGAGAGGGCACTGGGCCTCACCTGGCTGCACGTGGAGCCCAGACCGGGAGAGGCTCAGTGGGTCCCGGAACACGTGGAAGGTGACATTTACCCCGTTCACTCTGAGGCAGAGATGAGCCACTTTGCTATACGTGCCAGCACAGGACAGCTGCCTGCCTGAATGTTCCGAATCACACATCAGGTTCCTTTGAAACCCTTGAGTGGTTTCCTGTGGTGTCTGTGTGGGTGTAGGTCTGTCAGTGAGCTGACGCTGGCAATGGACTGTCTGAGCCGGGACTGTCACTAGGAAGGGCCAACGCACCCGTGTTGTAACTAATGTTACGCTGGAGGCCCCAACGATGCACGTCTCCTGGGATTTATGCCCTTGGGTACGCCCCCTGCTACTCCCGAGCCCACCCCCCACTGGCTTGGCCACTTGACCTATATGGTCTACCGGACATTAGCACACATGATGCAAAGGCTTGATAAGCACCCGCACAACAGTACTTGCTGTGTTAGTCACTCATTGTATCCGACTCTTTGTGATCCTGTGGACTGTAGCCCAGCAGGCTCCTCTGCCTACGCGATCATCCAGGCAAGAACACTGGACCGGGTTGCCATGTCACAGTGCCTACCCTCCTGGAGTGCTCCCTCCTGAACCCAGCTGCCTGCCCCACTGTGAGGCAGCCTAAGTGAAGCAACATGAACAAGAGCCCAGGCTGAGCGCTTTTCTAAATGAGCTAATGTGGCTAAAGCAGGTAGAACCCCAGAAGGGCTGTGAGGAAGCCCTGGTCTTGCAAACACAACTAAAGAGGGCTTACCCTTGAGCACAAGCCATCAAGAATGAAAGAAGACTCTGCTTTCTTCTAGGCCCACTTTAGCACCACCCACACATTGGAACATTGGTCTCTGTGCGAAGTGTATAATTGCCTTAAAGTGTGTAATCTGCCAGCTCTTGCTCCAAGTCAGCCTTGTCTCTGTTCCTCTTGGTAGAACTTCCGAAGGCTGTTGTTCAAGCAGAAATCTTGCCAGCTGTTTTGGCCTTTTCATAAACAGGTGATGTCACGTTCACGTCTGAATCCTCAGTAGTATACTATTTTCCAGTTTAACTCACATGTCTTTATAGGTATGGAGTGGCTTATGAAGGTCACAAAAACACTCAGAGCCTAGTAATGGTTTTCAAACCATGTGTTTCAGCCCATTAGTGAGTTGTGAAATCAAAGGTGACCACTGGCATTACAAAGTAATGACATAGAATAAAATAAGTCAAAATTCGTAATAAAGGCAAATACTGTTTTATGAAACTTTTCAGCCACATATCTAGATATGAAAACTGGATGCAATGTAAAATGTGTATTTTACTTGGCAGGGAGTGGGGAGGATAGTGATCAAAAACAGTGAAAACTCAAGTAAAGGTTGATGAGCTCTGTCTGAACTTAACTCCTTGGGCTGTGTAAGGTGATCTTTTGATTTCTGCATTCAGTCTCAGATTCTAGCATTGTTCATTTTCTTTTGCCTGTGCATAAACTTAACTGCTTTCTATAGTTACTGTTGCCTATTTCTGTCAGTTTTGGGGCACGAAGTCTGTTGTTGTTCAGTTGCTGTCATGTCTGACTCTCCAACCCCATGGACAGCGGCATGCCAAGGCCTCCCTGTCCGTCACTATCTCCCAGAGTTTGCTCAAACTCATGTCCATTGAGTCGGTGATGTCATCCAACCATCTCTTCCTCTGTCCCCCCCCCCTTTCCACCTGCCTTCAATCTTTCCCAGCATCAGGGTCTTTTTCAATGAGTCAGCTCTTCACATCAGGTGGCCAAAGTATTAGAGATTCAGCTTCAATATCAACCTTCCAATGAATATTCAGGGTTGATTTCCTTTGGGATTGACTGGTTTGATCTTTCTGTCCAAGGGACTCTCAGGAGTCTTCTCCAGCAATACATTTCTGTTGTAATCATGCCCAAATCACAGGGGCTTAACATAATCAAGGATTTATTTCCTCATTCACATCCCTGTCTTGTAGTTGCTGCTGCTTGAGTGTTAGTGGGTTCACACGGAGTGTCAGAGGGTTTGTTTAGTCCTTAAGTCGTGTCTGACTCTGCAAACCCATGGACTGCCGCCCACCAGGCTCCTCTGTCTATGGGATTTCCCAGGCAAGAATACTGGAGTGGGTTGCCATTTCCTTCTCCAGGGGTTCCTCCCAACTGAGGGATTGAACCTGTGTTTCCTGCACTGGCAGGCAGATTCTTTACCACTGAGCCACCAGGGAAACCTGTTGTGTCAGAGGGTGCCTATGTTCAAAGGGACAGGGGGATCCTTTTGTAGTTCATGAGTATGATGATTGGGTGTTCACGCTACTGCGTGATATGTGCCTCCCTCCAAACCTTGTTACAACATCGGCACATTACCTTTCTGACATTAAAAAAAAAAAAAAAAAAGGGACAGGGGAAGGTAAAATCACATAAAAGGCAACCAGGCAAGATGGGAAATTCCAATGTGAAGGAAATGCTTACTACCCTCTGTTATGGACTGAGTCATGTGCTGCCATGCCCTTCCTCCCCAATTCATCTGTTGAAGCCCTAACCCATAATTTAGAGATAGGGCCTTTAGGGTGATAATTAAGGTTAAATGAGGTCACACAGGTGGGGCCCTACTCCCATAAGACTGGTGGCCTCTTAAGAAGTGGAAGAAAGAGCAGAGATTACTCTCTCTTGCCGAGTGTGCACAGAGGAAGTTACAGAAAAAGGTCTCACCAGAAACCAACCCTGACAGCACCTTGACCTTGGAGTTTCAGTCTCTGTAACTCCGTAACTCCATAAGTTGGACTTCCAGCCTCCAACAGTAAATTTCTGTTGTTTAAGCCAGCTAACCTGTTTGTTATGGCAGTCCAAGCAGACTAATACATGCCCCCCCATCATTGCCTGGGTTGATGAGCTTTGTAAATCAGTGTGAACCAGTGCAAATACTTGGAATACAAACAGCCCAATTTCTTAAGACTTACTTTGACATTTGTGTTTCTTGAAATGTAAAGACATGATGATTTTTCCTAAAGAGTTAGTGAGGAGTGACTTCCCTGGTGGTCCAGTGATTAAGACTCTGAGATTCCAATGCAAAGGGCATGGGTCTGATCCCCAGGTGGGGAACAAAAATCCCACATGCTGTGTGGCAGGGCCAGAAATAATTTTTTTTTTTTAAAGAATTAGTTGGTGAGGGGTGGGGCAGGGGAAGGAGAAGGATGTATACATTGAGGCTGAAATCCTTCCTGGACCTTTGTGGGATACTAAAAGCAAGTGACTAGGATGTTCATTTACATGGAGTTAAATACCCAATTACAGAGGAACTATGACTTAAATTTTGGTAGAGTTATTCAAAGGAATAATAAGCATAATGATAATTAAGAAGACTGTGTGGCAACACGGAAAAACTTATTTCTAAGCATTGCTTAGTAAGTAAATTATAAATATTTATTTTGTTGTAACTATAAGACAGTGAATGTGGTCAAATCATAGCAAAAAAGTGTAAAACTTAAAATAGTTTTGTTAGAGTCATGGAATTTTAGTTATATTTGTTTTTGCTTTTAAAATTTTCTTGAAAATTATTTACTGGGTTTATATAAAATTCACTTTCCACCATTTTGAAAAAATTTCTCCCAATTACAGAAAACTTTAAAAAAAAGGGTGGGGAGAGAAAAAATATTTTCTCATGTTCCCAGCACATAGGAACTATTACTTTTGACTTTTCAGTGTACAGATGACTCATTCTTCTGTATACAAGATTTGGTATGTATGTCTTCAATGCATATATAAAATCTATGAGCATCATCACTATAAATGTCTTTCTTAAGTATCTTGAGTCAGGGATCAGTCCAGATTCATTGGAGTCGAAGCTCACACAGATGAGGAGTGCCTCTTTGGGAGGAAAAATGAAAAATTGCCAAGATAAAATTAGGTGTTACCCCATGCACTGTAGCCTGCCAGGCTCCTCCCTTCATGGGATTTCTCAGGCAAGGATGCTGGAGTGGGTTGCCATTTCCTTCTCCAGGACAGCTTCCTGACCCAGGGATCAAAACAGCACCTCCTGCTTGGTAGGTGGATTCTTTAACACTGAGTCATCTGGGAAGCCTCAAGATGGTGACTTAACAAAGATAAATTGTGAAACAGCAACATTTGAATTTCTAATGCCTTTGAGTCTGGTAGAAAATTTTATAGCAAGAACAAAGCAGTAAAAACCATCTCAGAATCTGCAAGACTCTGTGGAAGGGGCTCTACCTTTCAAGTCTTCCTATACAAATCTTTTCAGTTCCATTGCGTATAAAAATTAACTTATTGCCACATAATGCATACAACTACTTTAAAATGGTTATAGTACATGGATAATTATCATATGGCATTCACATTTGTGAGGCTGGTGGCCATGTACCTTGTTCAAACAATTACACACAAATCAGAAAATTTTGTGCTGAGATATTTGAATATTCATGATTCCATAAAAATGCCACTCTCATGTCTGGAACATTCTGCCATATTGGTTTTAGCAAATATGAAAGTCAACTTGCACTTTTCATAAGCACCTACCCACAAGAATGTCATGTGCAATAATGACAAATTCTGACTGCATCTGATTCTTTTATATGAAAGGCATTTGTTGAGTTTCTCACCACTTTGAAAATGTCTGGTTTAGAATATGGTGACTTCTCAGAAGCCACCTCATGTCCACTACATTTTTTCCATTTCTCCCTTTTGTAGGTTCTATAGTAAAGCATTGGTGGGCACTCATGGCTAAAGGTCCTCAACAGTGATTAACTTCACACTTCCCTACTGTCTGGATGACTGGCTGTCTGGGATAGATGACCCAGAGCTTGCTATTCCCACAGTCATTTCCATAAATGTCAACTCTGTGTGGGAGTCTTAGGGGTGTGTTGAGCACAAAGGCTTGTTTACAGTGTATTGTTTATCAGGAGTATGACTGGGTCAAATGTAGTAAGCGATGTGCTGTGGCTTAAGGCTTTGCTGGGTCCCAGCACACATGGAGTGGGTCTACCCAGTATGAGTTCTCTGGTGCTTGGTAAGGGAGGAGCTGTGTGTGAAGGCCTTCCCACAGTCCCTGCACTCATATGGCTTCTCTCCTGTGTGGATCCTCCGGTGCTGAGTGAGGTGGGTGCTCTGCCTAAAGGACTTTCCGCAATCCTGGCACTCGTAGGGCTTTTCCCCAGTGTGTGTCCTCTCGTGCTGGCTGAGCGATGAGCTGTGGCTGAAGGATTTTCCACATTCATTGCACCCATAGGGTTTTTCCTTGGTGTGAATCCTCTGGTGTTCTATGAGGAGGGAGCTCTGGCTGAAGGCTCTGCCACACTGATTACACTCATAGGGCTTCTCTCCTGTGTGGATCCGCTGGTGTTGAATGAGTGGAGCAAGCTGGCTGAAGGCTCTGCCACACTCATTACACTCATAGGGCTTCTCCCCAGTATGGATCCGCTGGTGTTTGGTCAAGGATGAGCTGTGGCTGAAGGCCTTGCCGCAGTCACTACACTTGTAGGGCTTCTCCCCCGTGTGGATTCTCTGATGCTGAGTGAGGTGTGTGCTCTGCCGGAAGGCCTTCCCACACTGCCTGCATGCATAGGGTTTCTCGCCTGTGTGTGTCCGCTCGTGCTGGCTAAGCGATGAGCTGTGACTGAAGGTTTTCCCACACTCATTGCACCCATAGGGCTTCTCTCCTGTGTGGATCCTCCGATGCTCAGTCAGGAGTGTGCTCTGGCTGAAAGCCTTCCCGCACTCACTGCACTCATACGGCCGCTCGCCTGTGTGTATCCTCTGATGCTGAATCAGTGGTGTGATCTGGGTGAAGGCTTTTCCACATGCCTGGCACTCATAGGGCTTCTCCCCAGTGTGGATCCGCTGGTGTTTAGTCAGGGATGAACTGTGGCTGAAGGCCTTGCCACACTCTCCACACTGGTATGGCTTCTCCCCAGTGTGGATTCGCAGGTGCTGGGTGAGATGGATGCTCTGTCGGAAGGCCTTCCCACACTGACTGCACGTGTAGGGCTTCTCACCTGTGTGCGTCCGCTCATGTTGGCTGAAGGAGGATCTAAAGCTGAAGGATTTCCCACACTCGCTGCACTCATAGGGTTTCTCACCCGTGTGAGTTCTCTGGTGCTGGATCAATGGGGCAATTTGGTTGAAGGTCCTCCCACACTGAGTACACTTGTAAGGTTTCTCACCAGTGTGGATTCGCTGGTGTTTGGTAAGCGCTGAGCTGTTTCGAAAGCCTTTTCCACATTCATGACATTCATAAGGCCTCTCTCCTGTGTGTGTTCGGTGGTGTTCAATGAGTGCTGAGCTGTGACTAAAGGTCTTTCCACATTCCTGACATCCATAGGGCTTCTCTTTTGCACAGGTTTTCTGTTGAGCATTTGAGTCTGAATTCTCCCTCTGTCCATGTGCTCCCCACATTGGGGCATCTTGCCTTTCAGGAGTCATTGGTTGAGTTGGGAGATCTGGCCTCAGACTCAAGTTTTCCCCACACCCATTCCCCTGCTGCTGCTCCTGTGTCGGTGTCTTCACAGGTGTGCAGGCTGCCTGCACCACACAGCTATCTGACTTCTCAGGGCCCTGTTCCCTGTTGCCTGCAGCATCTTCATCCTTAAAGTGCCACAGACTTTCCTGCAGAAACCCTTCTACCAGGGCACTGTTGGCTATTTCTTCAGTTACACCTTGCTTTTCAGTTGATAGCTTGCTTTGGGGTCTGGTTTCCAAATCTGAAAGAAGCAGAGAAATGGAAATGTCCCCTAATCCTGGTTCTGAAGGAAGTCTGTGTGTGTGGGGGGGGTGGTGAGTAGACAGAAGAATAAAACTTATAGTTTTGAAAGGTCCAAGGCACAGTGGCTTTGTCCACTAAAAAGTACATTTTTACAAATCAGGGAAGGAAGCACAGAGAATAATCACGGGTGGGGCACTGGTATAGGAGGTGTGGATGGGGTGTTCAGGGAAGCACAGAGAATGAGGGCAGGAGAGGATGCTGAGGAGAAAGCACGCATCCAGGGAAACTGTCAACAGATATCCTGGACCTGGAGTACCCCCGGCTCAGAGCAGAGCTCAATGGATGTGCTGAAGGAAGAAACAAATGCATTTCCTCCTCCTCCCTCCTGGCCCAGGGATCTGACTCTCTCTGTACGGCCATGGCCTCGGTGCCTGACATCCCCACCCTGACACTACACTTGCTTAAAAGTGTAACGTGGGCACCTTTCCCATTTGTTACACTCCAGTGAAAAGTTACATAGAAAAGGTCAAGCAAGATGTGGTTGGCAGAACAGAGACTCCCAAACATATCCACGTCCTCATCTCTGGAGGCTTTGAATTTGAAGTTACCCTTCTCACAGCAGAACAGGTGCTTGGTGAATGTTCCCTGAGAGACGGAGTAGTCAATTTGCTCTGAAGAACCAGGGGTGGGTATGGAGAGAGAAGCTGGGGGGTGAACAGGCTCCCCCCAGACTGCAGGGCTTTCATCTCACCTGGGCACACACCTTGGGGGCCTCCCTCGTCCGCTGCCCACAGCTCTGCCTCCTGCTCCAGCAGGGAGATGACATCCGGCTTTGGGAGCCAGTGTCCTGCTCAGGGGGAGACCCATGGAGTGAACAGCTGTGTCCTAGGAGCCTCCCTAACCCTCTGCCCACACCTTCAGTCTTCCAGGACCACGTGTCTGGGGTTCTGGGAGGACATGGTTGCTGTAAGAGCTTCTGCCCTCCCTTAGAGGCCCCTTCCCCCAACTCAGTCCTGACCCCATCCCTGGCCCCAGGGTGCCTATCAGAGCTCTGCTTCTTCCTTTGCCTTATGGCAACAATGACCAGTGTAGAGGGGACCTGGCTGCCAAACCAAGACAATCTAGGACCTTCTATGGGTGCCTGGGACACAGACTCTGCCTCTCCTGTTGGTCTCAAGCCTGGGAGAGGCACACTGTTAGCTGTCTCATCACCTTCAGAGGGGCCCATCTGTGAATGGAGGAAGAAAGAGGTATGGGGGGAGGAGGGGGTTCCCACCAGCACCAAAGGCAGATCCAGGTGTGCCCTGGAGTTCTTTGGTCATGGGACCAATATGTCCCTTTTACCCCAGGACTTTCTGCTTCTGGCATTGTTCACACGGATCCGTAGTTTGCAACCAAAACACTATAACTGATGTTACCTACACTAAAACAGTCGGGTCCCTGAAGTCCAAGTCACAGCCCAGGTATCCCCATTTAAGGCCTAGATGTACTCCCACTTTTATCCCAGGAAAATGAGAACGTGTGCTGGGGGCAGATCAGGGCACGAGGATGGCCTCACCCACAGAGACCAGGAGTCTGAAGGTCTCCAGCATCACATCTCGGTACAGGGTCCTCTGGGCCGGCTCCAGATGCCCCCACTCCTCCTGGGTGAAGTCCACGACCACGTCCTCAAAAGTCACTTGCTCCTGAAACATCACACACATGCATCCTCAGAGCCCCCAGCGTGGCCGTCAGGAGGAAGCAGCTGGTGAATGGGGGCCTTGGCCACGTAGGTGAGAGGGTCAGGGGATTTGGGTCAGGTTTCCTTTGGGGGGCCAGGAGCCCTGTTGGAGGAGAGACTCTTGAGATGAAAAAATGAGGGGTAACAGTGAAGAAGATGGTCGTCCTGACATGCTGGGGTCACAGGAAGTGTGCTTGCGTGGGTGTCCCTCAGGGAGAAGGCAGGGAAGGAGCACCTAGAAAACTGTCAGGCTGTTTCTCTGCCTCACCCTTTGGCCAAAATCATATCTGAGAGGTCCGTGATGTATACATAACAAAACAAAGCCCTCTTTAAGAGATAAGAGGGTCCATGCTGCCACAAGCCCATTTTCCAGAGACTGGGAGAACGTAAGTATCTTGCCCAAAGGTATAAAGTTAGTAAGCAGCAAGTCCAAGGGTTGAATCTGAGAGATTTTATTAAGAATCTGTTTACCGTGTAAATTAAATTCAAGTACATGAAGATCCATGCATTAGTGGAACGTCAGTGTGGTAGTGGGAGCATTTCAAAGCCATGGGGCACACTGGGGCAACTGGCCCTTTGGGGGAAAAACAGTAGATCTCTACCTCACACCGTAAATAAATTTGAGAAATCTTAAAGAGATGAATATAAAAAAGGAAAAAGTTGGAAAAGTATAGACCATTAATTTAATAAATGGGTGGCACAGAAAGTTTTCACAAATAAAACATTAAAAGTCAGAAAGAAGAAAAATGAGTTTGGTAGGAAAAACTGTGTCTCTACCATCCCAGGATTACATAGCAAGGAGGAATTAGGATGGCAGATGGAATTAAGGTTGTTAGTCTGCTGACCTTAAAATAAGGAGGTTATCCTGGAATGTCCTCGTGAGCCCATTGTAATCACAAGGGTCTTTCAATGAGGAAGAGGTAGAAGAGTCAGCCTCACAGTAATGGTATGTGAGGAAGACTCAAATGGCGGAAGCTGTCTTAGAAGATGGAAGGGGGCCAAGAGCCAAGGAACGTAGGAGGCATCTAGAAGCTGGAAAAGGGAAGGCAGTGGATTCTCTCCTAGAGCTGCCAGAAGCAACACAGCCCTGCGGACGCCTTGATTTCAGCCTAAAAAGACGCATTTCAGACTTCTGGTCTCCAGAAGTATAAAACAATAATTTGTGTGGTTTTAAGCCACTCAGTTTGTTGGGATTTGTTACAGAATCAACAGGAAAATGATACATTCATCAATCAAAATTCATGATTTCTAGATGACAAAGTCTTTACAAGCTACAACGACCGTAACAGCAGAATGAATATTTGCAACATAAATGGAAGGAAAAGGATTACTGGCCAGCACATGCGAAGAACTGATAAATCAGTAAGTAAAAGGCAAACAACAGGACAGAGAGCCTGGCCCTTCTGAGAAGAGGGAGGCTGAGTACCCAGGCATGGATTACTTGCACAACTGGCAGGTTTTTAAAAATACATATAGTAGTTATGCTGGCAATTCCACCTCCCCATCCCCCCAAGAACCTCACTCCCTTGCTGCACTGTCTATGCATGACAGACAACTGGTAATAGCCTAGACGCCTGTCATATGGGAGCAGCCAAAGTTAGTTTCTCGAAAACCTGCAGCCAAGTGAACTTAGGAAGTCTGGGTCCATCGATTGCCTGTTGGCCATGGGGCTAAGCCAATTCCCTGAAAGACAAGTGAGAGAAAAACAGGCTCTGGGGGTCAGAATGGGAGTTCTGGGCCTTGGGGTTAGGCAGGGAACTTGCACCCTCCTACCTGGTTCCTCCTTGGACAAACTGAGATGGACCCCTGAGATGTCACAGCAGAATCGACTGAGGGAGCCCCAGGGGCTGGGAACCCCACGCCTCAGCTGCACCATCCACTGGTGTCCATATGTGCAGGCACCAGGCTGCACACTCACAAAATCTACTCAGTGCATAAACAATGCCTGAATACAAAGAGGAACTGTGGAGAGAAAGAGCAATGGAGAGTGGCTAGAAAAATGAAATGGTGGGGATGTCCAGGGGCAGGACCCCCGAGGACTGTTTCCTAGTCTTCAATTTTAAATATTGGGGTAATAGAAGTACCATATGATCCAGGAATCCTGCTCCTGGGTATATATCTGAAGAAAAAACAAAACAAAACAGTAATTCTGAAAGACACACGCACCCCAGTGTTCACAGCAGCACTATTTACAATTGCCAAGATGTGCAAGTAACCTAAGTGTCCATCAACAGATGAACCAGTAAAGACCTGGCACACACATGCACACCTACATACACTCCCTGGAATGCTACTCAACCGTAAAAAAGGAAATTTTGCCATTTGCCACAACATGGATGGACCTGAACGGTATCATGTTTAGTGAAATAAGTCAGAGAAAGATAAATACTGAACATTCTCTCTTATATATGGAATCAAAAAATAAACAAGTGAACAAACAAAAACAGACTCACAAAGAGAGAATAAGGCCAGTTTCTTCCATGATCAGGTGGGGAATTTAAGCTTTTTTTTCCAAGGCACCTGAGGTTTGGGCACTCACATCCTCCACAAAGAGATTTTCATATCACTGAAGCAAGTATTATGGATGGCCAGAGTGGAGGGCAGAGTTAAGAACTTGGCCATGTGGAGGGGGTGGTCAGGGACACAAGGCCACCCACTTCCTGGACCCTGGTCTCCCAGGCAGAATCCACCTCTGCTAGAGATTCTCCCACCAGAACAGCCAGTGGGGGGGGGGCAAGGGCGGGGTGGTGATGTGAAGACTGGTGGTGGATCCACGTGGTGGAGATTCCAACCCCAGACTCAGGCGTCTTTGCACTGCACTCTGCCCCTCTGGCCTCATCTGCAAGTTGCTGGAAGCTCCCTGAGAAGGCTATTGGGAGGAATGAGGGAAGTCACAGGAATCGTGCTCAGGACTCGGCACATAGTGGTTGCTTTACCTGCAGACCCAGCTTCAAACTATGCTGAGGGCAGGGCGGGGTGGTTTTCTTTTCTCTCACCAACTCTCCCTGCTTGTTCCATACTTTCCAGACTCATTAGATCTTGCTGTTATCTGAAGAGTCCTACTGAGCACAGGTCTGGACACTGCAGGGGCCGTGGAGACAAGACACACACACACACACACACACACACACACACACACTGCCTCCTGCTGCTGTGTGCTAGCTGCTGGGTTGGGGAGAGAGCAAAAATGCAAACCCCAGAAAGGCTCAGTGCTCTGGGGAAAGTGGGAGGGATGCTGCTGCAGCAGCGGCAGAGGGACCTGGAGGAAGAGGCACAAAGGAGCAGGACATATGTGGGGCTCTGGGGCCTCAGGGTCGGAGTTCAGGTCCAGCTCGACCAGTCCCAGCTGTGTCACTTGCCCCTGCACCTTGGTCCCTCCTCATCCAACCTCATGGGACTGATATGGAGGTTGAACCTGGTGAAACGTGTCCAGCACTGACCAGGGTTCAGAACACTCAGTCTTCACCCATTCTCCGTATGCCTACTGTGTGCCAGTCCTTTGCACATGGTAAAAATGACCAGAACTGCTTCCCAAGGCCTCAGGCCCCTGCAGCTGGCCTAGGAGACCTGGCTCTCCGTCTTCCTGCCACACATGTGCCTGGTCTAAGTGCCCGGTGCGGTCCCACCCCCAGGCCTCTGCTCCTGCTATCCCCTCCGCCTGCAGCATTCTGCCTGTGGGCTCGACCCCACCTTCTCCCTTCCTGCAGATCTCTGCCTGGGGGTCACGGCCTCAGGGAGGCCTCCTGGGCCCCAAGCCCACCCTCTTTGGGGCCTCGTTTCCCTGCCCAACACATGGCACATTTACATTCCCCACGTGCTCTGTGAGCCGTGGGGCGGAGATTTCTTGTCTGTTTCCACACCTGCAGCACCTGTAACAGTGCCTGCTTGCGGGTAGTGCTCAGTACATGTTGGCCAAGTGACTGGAGGTAGTGTGAGCTGGGAGAATGGACCCTGAGCCCTGTGTCGAGAAAGCTCCAGGTCAGTGGGGTGGATAAGCGATGTCTGCTAGGGTGGCACAGGGCAGGGGTTGGGGGGTGGGACCCAGCTGATCTTCTCAGAGTGGCAAGGTGAGATGTGGAGGGACACGGAGCTGAGGAAAGCACAGGCCGGGCCAGGGACAGAGTGATGGCAGAGGCCCCGAGGGCAGAATGAGCCTGGTGGGGACCACGGGTGGCACCTGAAGGCCGGGTGGGAGGGGCACCGTACTCACCGGGTCCCCGGCAGTGAGGAGCCCAGCAGTCATTCCCTCCTCCTCGGGCCTCTTGCAGGAATAGTCAGCTCCTCTGTAGGCAGTTCTGGGGGGAAAGGGGATATGAGAGACTGGGCAAGTGACAAGTGACGAATGACTCCCGGCCCTGGAAGGCCTGTGTGCATGTAGTAGGAACTCCGTGCCCAGGTGGGATGCAATAGGATTGCCTCTCCAGCGTGGCATTTCTTGAACTCCTGCTGTGCACCTGATGCTATTCCAGGCACTGTTGAAAGATGACCTCCCTTTCCCTTACTCATTCCAGACAGGGAAACGGATGGCCAAAGGGGCAAGGGGTGCAGCCCAGGTCGCACAGATGATTCCCAGGGTGATGACTCTGTTACTGTGCAGAAGGCAGAAAACCAGGCAGTACTGGGGTCTCTGGCACTCTTTGGTGTGCCTGTTTCTACAAAAGGTTTTTCTCTTATAAAATGAGGATGGTGACCCAGGACGGAGCTTACGAAAACTAAAATGTGAAAAGGAGACGTTCCCTGGTGGGCTAGTGGTTAGGATTCTGGACTTTCACTGCTGTGGCCTGGAGTTTAATCCCTGGTTGGGGAACTGAGATTCCATGAGCCATGCATTGCGGCTAAATAAATAATGACCCTGCCTATTGGCACCTGATTCTGCCCCAGCCACTCTGACCAGTTGTCTTCATTGTAGTTCCCTGGATGGGAGTTATAATATTCAGTGATGTTTTATGGGCTTATCATCCTCTCCCTGACTCTCCTGTGGCATCCAGGGCGGAGACAATGTTGGGGATATAGGACAGGGCCTGGCACCCAGAACATGTAAACACTTGCTTGTTTAAGTAATGAAGGAACCTGGATGGTGCCTGGCATGCAGCTGATGCTCAATAAGATTTTAATTTGTCTGTTTCCTGGGTCCCAAGTGGATAAGATCAAAATCTGTTGCTTTGGGTCTCCTTTACCTTTATTCTTTACAGACAGAAGCCCCTCAAGAAAGTGAGGTTCCACAGCTGACATGGTGGTGGGACCTCCTTCCCCACCTCCAAACCTCGGAGGTCTCGCCCAGTCCAGGGAGGAATGCAGGTTAGGCTGGCTCCAGGCTCTGAGGAGTCAGGCCAGCTAATCTCTAGGACTATGCTCCTGAAGCCAAAGACCTCAATCCCTTCCCTCAAAGCCGTGACCCAACCCCCGCCCCAACTCCTCCCCTCGGGCACTGAGACACCCCTCCCGATTTGGGCCCCGCCCACTCGGCCCCGCCCACACCGCCCACAGCGACCCAAACTAGGCCGAAGCAGGAAAAGGGATGTGACACGGGCGCGCGCGGCTATGTACACACCCTGGCCGGAGTCCCAGGGAAGACCCTGGACCCACGCTCCGCCCGGCCTCCCCTACCCCGGCCAACCCAAGCCTCACTTACCGCTGGACTGTAAGACAAAGACTGAGGCCGCCACGGAGCGCACTGCGCCTGCGTACCGACGCTGAACTACACCTCCCAGAGGGCGGCGCGCGCCTCCGATCGTCTTCCCGCTTGCCACGCCCCCTCCTGGGTGGCTACGGTTGAGGGGCTCTGAATCCTGGCTCCGCCTTGTTTTCCACCCTGGGACCCTCTGGTTCCGCACTCCTTGGAGGAATGCCAGGAGGAAGGCCACGCCCGCTGCTGGCCGAGATTGCGCCTAGCTGGGCGGGCGCCGAACTACAACTCCCAGAGTGCGGTGCGCCCACCTCCGGTCGTCTCTCAGCTCGTCCCACCCCGCCTGGGGCTGAGGCTGAGAAGTTCGAGCCCCTCTGACGCCTCACTCCTGGGACTGGAGCGTGAGGCTGCGATCGCGTTGGTCTGGGAGTGCGCCTGCGCGGAGGGCGCCGAACTGCGTCTCCCAGAGGGCCACTCGCCGCTTCCCTGGGCGTCTATTCCCGCCCGTCGGGTTCTTCTGATACCCGAATTCGAGTCCTGACACCTCTGTGTCCCCATCATAAATATTCCGTGCCGCCGCCGCAGTGAGGAGCCTTTGATTGTAGCCCGGCGCTCAGTAGGTGCCAGAATTTAGTACACGGTTCTAAGAAACATGGATATTTGAAAACTGCTTTACACACTGCTTCGTAACTGTCAGAACTGCGTTTCAATAGCATCATAGTATTCACCCAGGTGGCGCTAGTAGTAAAGAACGTGTTTGACACCGCAGAAGGTGTAAGAGACGCGGGTTCCATCCCTGTGTCAGGAAGATCCCTTGGAGCAGGACATGGCAACCCACTGCAGTATTCTTGTCAGGAGAACCCCTTGGACAGAGAAACCTGGGGGGCTTCAGTCCAGGGAGCCGCAAAGAATGGGACAGGACTGAAGCGATTTAGCACCTGCACATGGTACGCAAAGCTTCCCTAGTGGCTCAGTGGTAAAGAATCCGCCTGCAATGCAAGAGACGCGGGTTTGATCCCTGGGTGGGAAAGACCCCTTGGAGTAGGAAACTGCAACCCACTCCAGTATTCTTGCCTGGAAAATTCCACTAACGGAGGAGCCTGTCAGGCTAAAGTCCGTGGGGTTGCAGAGTCAGATGCCACTGAGCATGAATACATTAAAAGTTGGCGTCCCCTCACATGACTGAATTCGCCATTTGGTGAACACTGGCCAAGGCCAACCAGGTGGCATGCCCAGGGTACAGCAGCCAAGCGTACAAGGTGAGACCGTTCACCATTCCCCCACTTGAGCTGGACTTATTTTCAGTAATGCATGTGAACATCCAGTGGAGCAAGGATCTAACCAAGGCTGAGCCACCACACCTGCCTTTGCCCTTTTAAGAGGGGATTGATGGATTCAGATGAGTTGGGGCTTGCATGATGGAGCTGAAGCTGAGAAAAAGTTTCAAGCCAAGGGCATCTTTTCTTTGACTGAAACAGCTATTTATTTGGAAAAACTCTGATGCTGAAAACAGCAAACAGTAAGAATTCTTATGTTAGGGGGAAAAACAGCTGGTGACATCTTTTTTTTTTTTTTTTTTCACAAATAACAGGTGAAAAGATTTGGCTGGTTCGCACATGAGTGAAAGACTTCAAATCTTGTAACAGTGGTTGTTATGAGATGTGTCTGATGGCTCAAAATCGGAATGCTCTCATGATGCAAGCTCTAGTTTTTCTTTTCAGGTGTCATTTAGAGACTATAAAGGATCATATTTGTGATTGTCATACTGAAAGCTACTCTTCTGTCTGCTGAAGTAAGAAAGCTTTAAAGTGTTCATAAAATGTCTATTACCACTTCCCTCACCTGCAAATCCAAATGAAAAGACTGTTTTTCCTTTTTCTTTCACAAAATGTACCGTTTTCCTCCCCAGTTTCCTTTTACCAGATCAAAAGGCATGAAAACTTCCCATGTGGCACTAGTGGTAAAGAACCCATCTGCCAATGCAGGAGATGAGACGTGGTTTCAGTCCCTGGGTTGGGAAGATACCCTGCAGGAGAAAATAGCAACCCACTCCAGTATTCTTGCCTGGAAAATCCCATAGACAAAGGAGTCTGGCAAGCTACAGTCTATGGGGTCACAGAGTCAGTCACGACTGAAGCAACTTAGCATAAACTCTCTCATGATGACATCTTTGCTTAAAAAAATTGTTTTTGGCTGTGCTGGGTCTTCATTAATGTGATTTTCCTCTAGTTGAAGTGCATGGGCTTCCTATCGGGGTGGCTTCTCTTCTGTAGCATGGGCTCTAGGGTGTTGCTTTAATGAGTATTTTTCAATGAACTTAAGTGGCCATCAAAAGTACACAGGATAAACAAATTATGGTATAGTCATTCAATGGGAAACTATACAGCAGAGAAAATAAATGAAATTGAGTCTCACATATCAAAAAGGATAAATTTTGGGACTCTCCTGAAGGTCTAGTGGTTAGGAATCCACACTTCCACTGCAGGGGTCTGGATTCAGTCCCTGGTTGAGGCACTAAGATTCCGACAGGTAACATGGCAAAACAAATAACAATAACAAAAAGCCCTACACAAAGGTGAAAGGATAAGTCTTGTAATGATAAATCTATGGAGCAAAAAATGCAAGTTGCAGATGAAATTATATGCTTTTATATGAATGCAAAACATGCTTTGTATTATTTTGAAACAGACACATTATAAAGTTTCAGGAAACACATGGCATGATTCACATCTCATTCAGGACAGTGGCTGCCCCCAGAGGAAGGGGGGGTTGCTATTTCAGAGGGGAATGTTGTTCAGTAGCTATGTCGTGTCTGACTCTTTGTAACCCCATGGACTGCAGCATGCCAGGCTTCCTTGTCCTTCACTATCTCCTGGAGTTTGCTCAAGTTGGTGATTGTATCCAACCATCTCATCCTCTATCTCCCCCTTCTCTTTCTACCCTCAATCTCTCCCAGAATCAGGGTCTTTTCCAATGAAGAGAGGGGAACAAAGGGGTTTAGGCCTGCAGGTTGATGATGTTCTTTTTCATTTTTTCATTCAGCTTAGGAGTCTTTTCACAGGTTTCATTGAATCTCTTACAAATTTTTATGTCTTACATATTTTTCATAAAAGAAAAAGGAGCAGACATCTAACATTGAATTCCAGGCACATGAGAAACTGGATGCTGAATGTTGAACTGGTGGCAAAGCAGACCTGTGAAAGGGGAGCCTCTACATGGTCACCAGTTGTAGAGAAACATCTTGACTTTCATCTGGCGGGGGGGAGGTGGGGAGTGGTGGGGAGGTACTCAGAATCCCAAGTGTTGACCTTTGTGACTCTTAGAATGTTAGCTGGAGAAAATGAGTTAATCCTAGGATTTGAGAGCATGAGGTATTAGATTGGTGCAAATGTAATTGCAGTTTCAGACCATGAATTTTAAATCATTATACTAGGCTCAAAAATACCTTTATTAATCCAAATAGGAACCACTACAATCAAGATTTTGCCAGTGAGAAATAAGTTTGCTTATTCCTATAGTATAAAAATCCGTGCTTTAGGATTCAGTGCACTCTTGGAAAGCATTTTCTGCATCCTGCTCATTGTGGAAGTGGTTTTTCTGCAAAAAGTTCTCAAGATGCTTGAAGAAGTGGTAGCTGATTAGCCAGAGGTCAGGTGAATATGGCTGATGAGGCAAAACTCTGTAGCCCAATTCGTTCAATTTTTGAAGCACTGGTTGTCTGATGTTTGGTCAGGCATTGTCATGGACAACTGAACCTTTTCTGTTGACTAATGCCGGCTACAGGTATTGCAGTTTTTGGTGTGTTTCATACATTTGCTGAGCATACTTCTCCGATGTAATGATTTCACCAGGATTCAGAAAGCTGTAGTGGATCAGGCCAACAGTAGACCACCAAACAGTGACCATGACCCTTTTTTGGTGCAAGTTTGCCTTTGGGAAGTGCTTTGGGGCTTCTTTTCAGTCCAACCATTGAGCTGGTCGTTGCTGGTTATTGTATAAAATCCACTTTTCATTGCATGTCACAATCCAATCGAGAAATGGTTCACTGTTGCACAGAATAAGAGGACATTACAAAACAACAATTTTTTTTTGGTCAGCTCATGAGGCATCCACTGATTGATCTTTTTCACCTTTCCCATTTACTCCAAATGCCAAACAACCATAGAATGGTTGATGTTGAGTTCTTTGGCAACTTCTCATGTAGTTGTAAAGAATCAGCTTCAATGATGCTCTCATTTGGTTATTGTCAACTTCTGATGGCCAGCCACTACACTCTTCATCTTCAAGGGTCTTGTCTCCTTTCCAAAACTTCTTGAACCACCACTGTATGTTCATTAGCAGTTCCTGGGCCAGATGCATTGTTGATGTTGCAAGTTGACTCCACTGTTTTATGATCCATTTTGAACTCAAATAAGAAAATTTCTGGAATTTGCTTTTTGTCTAACATCATTTCCACTGTTTTTGTTGTTGTTGTTCAGTCACTGGGTTGTGTCAAACATTTTGCGACATCATGGACTACAGCATGCCAGGCTTCCCTGTCTTTCACTATCTCCTGGAGTTTGGTCAAACTTACATTCATTGAGTTGGTGATGCCATCCAACCATCTCATCCTCTGTTACCCCCTTCTCTTCCTGCCCTCAATCTTTCTCAGTCTAAAATAAATATAAAATCAACAGCAAGTAATGTCATTACCAAAAAAAAAATAAAATGAGAAATGTGCATTAAAATGATATATAACATAACCACATTTATTTAGAATGTATTCCAATATCAATATCTGAGCAAACTCCAGAAAAAGTGAAGGACAGGGGAGCCAGGCGTGCCACAGTCCATGGGGTTGCAAAGAGTCAGACTCGACTTAGCAACTGAACAACAACAAAAACAGTATCAGACGGCAAATTAAAACAAGCAAAAACTGCAATTGCTTTTGCAGAAAACTAATAACTTCTAGTCTAGCTGACTTGTACTAGTTATTTTACTGTTGGTGACCTACAACCCAGCTCATAAAATGCCCTACTTTTTCCAAATAAAGTGTCCTTGACTCACCCTACCTTAACCTTTCGTTCTCATCTGGCTATGACAAAATGGAACCGGCTGGAGCCCTTCACTTGCCATGGGGTGATCACATTTTGGACATCTCTCAGAGGGAGCATGTCCACAGACAGCATACATTCTACTACCGCTCTGGTCTTTTCCGATTCAGAAACCTCAGTAACTGCTCAGACACAGCCCAGACTTCTGTAATAGAGGCATCCAAAATGGCTGTTTGGCCCAGTCTTGGCCACCCCATCACTCAGAGAACAGGGTACCAT